CCCAGAGATTTCCCCCTTAATTTCCAGCTACCCTGTCAGCTTTAAGCTTTACCCCCTGGCACCTGAAACCAGTAAGGCTTCAGCTTTCTGCTACCTGAGCTGTGTACATTTGGGGAATAAACTCAGTTCTTAAAAAGCCTCAGAACTCATCCATTAGAGTTCTGTCTTTCAAGAATAGATTCCTCTTTGGTCTCTGCCTGCTTTTTTGCCAGGCTTCCTCGGGGTCTTTCCATGCATGTAAGGGTTTAGCAATCAGCCAGGTACCTGGAGAGAGTTTATTTTCAGATTTTGGGTTTCAGCCCATCAGCAGTTCATTCATTTCCAGATTTCCCCCTTAAATTTCCTCTTAAACTGTGCTCTTTTATCTCTAGCCCATAGAGGCTCTTTTCCTCTCATTCTTTCCCACTATATTGCCATGAGAGTTTGGGGAAAGCCTGAATCTCACAAGTGTATACACCTGCGAGTTGTAGCTTTTCAAGAGTAATTGCTGCTGCTGGCTTATGCTTTCTTTTAGATGTTTTCCAGTGCCTACAAATAGTTATTTTTACATTTTGTCCAGATTATATAATTGTTATCTGTGGGAGGGCTCTCAAGACTTCTTCACTTCACTACCGTTACTGGAAATTCTTGCATTTTTATAGCTTTTCTGCAGTATTTGTTATGGCTATGGTGTTTACAGCAGTAGGAGGGGCAACAGTGAAGGACGAATATTTGCTAATTTCATTCCGAATAGAACTTGATGGGCTTTCCCCTGTTGATCTGCCCTTTTGAGTTTTTTTCCACTCAGCTATCAATATTCTAAATAGTTTCTAAAAATATACAAAGGACCACACTTAATTATCTCAATAAAACTTGTGACTTTCCTCAAAAAGCTTTGAGAATTTTGCTTTTATTTCCTAACAGTGAATTATAAGTCATGTTATAATTTACACTTTAAGATTTCATTTTTATATTGGCTAATGTAATACACTGGCTAATTTAATACAGATATTATATAAATTATAATTATGGAAGAACTATACTACTTATACTATAAATTTATACTGTTTATACTACAAATTTATACTGTTTATTCTATTTCCCTTGGGGGAAAATGAGGGTTTAGGCTGATTAAGTAAAAGAAGATCAAATTTTGTTAATATCATTGACATCACTTACTGGTTGAAATTTTGTGTATTTTAAGAAAATTATCTGCATATATGAAATCACTACTCATAAAATAACTTTTGAGGGGAAAGGAACTGATTATGAAATGTACTTTCTAACTTAATGAGTAGTATGAGTAATTGAAGTCTGCAGACAATCTCTAAATCTCATTTTAGTTATGAATTTCATCTTTTTCACCCATACTTTTTAGTTGTGCTGCTACTATAAAAGAATAGTTGAGGGTTATTGCATTTCTTATGCTCAGCCTTAATGGGATGTGTGAATTATGAGATAGCAAAGAGTCAGGAGCAGTTGGCTTAATTCGTTGGTTTCTGGAATAATTTGGATAATATTCCATACATTGGTTTACAGGACTAGTAAATTAAATTTACCATTTGACCGTGTATTTTCCACTTTGCAATCTGTTCTTAGCATCTCATCAAAGAGTATACAGGTAACCATTCCACAGTCAAAATACGATCCCCATCTTTGCTTGTGTTTTCCCATTCTGTGATAAGCTTTTTATATATACACAATATTTAAGATAAAGATAAATCTTTATGTCCCAAACCTTAGACAATTATATATTTCTTGATTGTATATTTTATCATCCTGTGCATTGCAATTTACCTATTTGAATGGAATAGTTTTTACTTGGTGAATATTTTCTTAATAGGTATTTCAAAGTCATATCAGTTTTTTAGGTAGTGTATTGAAAAGGTTCTTGAACTGAGGTTCAGAAATCGTGGGTCATGCCTGCCTTCGCCATCAAGTACATGGCAGTTCCTTCATTTTATATAATCTCATGTTGGAAAATTAATTTCTAGAAATAAAAACATGAATTCAAAGGTTTTGTGGTTTTTTATTTATTTTTTATTTATTTTTTTTTAAAGATTTTATTTATTTATTTGAGAGAGAGAA